TCGATGCTTCCCGTATCCGTTACAGACATTTCCAATTTACCGCTTCATCGCTGCCCAAATAACTTGAATATCAACGTGTTAAATCTTCATCCGCGCCGACGCAATTAGTATTAAAATGTTTGACCTAATTATTTTCCGTCGTTTAGTCTGTGGAAGCGCCTCCGAGGAATATTAAAACATGTCAAGGACGAAAGGCGTTGTGGCGTAAAATCTGCGATCGTCACTCGGGTGCCTAATTAATTTTTCCGATGAAACATCTCGCTTAGCTTACAAATTCACTTGGAGACTGGCTTTACTGTGTCAATACCGTTTAGTCAAAAGTATTAAAAATTTAGTTTAAAAAAGTTTATTTGAACTGTTCGGTAGCTCGGAAACACACATAGCGTTACAAATAAAATTTAAATAATACACTTTAACGGTTTAACGATTTTTAACTTCGGCCCGACGTTTCAGATGCTTTGCAGCAGCCGTGGTAGACTAAAGATGGAGGATGTCTCTGTAAAAAACGTCAAAGTAAAAAACTGCTACGCTAGCGCCATCTGTTCCGTCGACGACCAAAAATCATTTTCAAATAAGTTTAACTAATATATCGCGTTTTAAACCGTTAAAGTGTTTTATTTAAATGTGTACTACTCGCGTAAACTATAGACAGTATAGGCACACTAATAAATGAGAGGACACCGTGAGTCAGTTGTGTAAGAACCCGGCTAGTTCTAATAAACAGTTATGAGGAAACAGATGGCGCTCGCGTGGCAGATTTCACTTTGACTTTAGAGACACTCTCCTTTGGTCCATCCGTAATCACGGCTGCTGATAAGCATCCGAAAAAGAAAATAAAATGCGTTTTAAACCGTTAACTTATTTAAATGTTTACTACGTACATACACAAGAGACAATACTTGAATATTACGATCGTATTTATTATAACAGCTTTATGGGTGGTAGAATCATCGAGAAACACAGATGAAGGAGCCGTTAATTGGGTTTTGGTTTTAGTAAGTAGATTTGCATGTCCAAAGAAAAAAAAAAACGACAGTGCATATTGTTAAGATGTTATACCATCAAGTTAACCACACGCCTGTACTTCTCTATCACACAAAAAAAATATAATTGAAACAATCAAATCAATCAGATACTATCAGAAAAGTCTTGAATGCCTTTTCTTTGTTCTTTCAACTGTAAAAGCGACTGTTTATTAGCAGTGCACGCTCGCGAAAATGAGAATTCCCCTTAAAATAATATGGAAACAGCGGAGCGAATGATATTAATGACCTGTTGGACCAAACTGTTAAATGAGGCCTCCAACAAATGAAAGCAATTAGCCGTGAGAACTCTCAAATCTTGCATCCGAACGAGAATTTCTGTTTACGAACACTTTTCAAGCTGAGTGAGTTCTGTTAGTTTAAAGCCCGAAATAATTGTACGGACTACTTGAACGACACTCGAGAAATTTTTTAAACAGCCTTTTAATTTTAATTTAAATATTGTGGTCTGCTTGAAAGACCTTTTAGGTCTGAACCAATAAACGGTGGAATAAAAACACTTACGAGGAACTAGAACTGATCCTATAAAGACCAAGTAAATGCTTACTTTATAAACATTTTTCGACGTACAATTATTATTGCTTATTACGAGTAAATGATTTCTTGGCATCAGAATTTGTTGCGGAGCGTGGTAAAATATATTTCGCGTTTTAAATCGTTAAGTATTTAAACCAATCAGGTTAACTTAAACCCAGTTTATTTTGAACTTGACATTACGTACTTTCAGTGAAATAATCTGCATAAATCTAGTTAAAAAACGTATTTATTTTGTTTATTATAGCACAATATCTGATTCTTCTATAATTATACATAGATATATGTTGAGACGTGTACAATAGGTACTCCTACCCTAAATTATGTGTATGATCTCAAAATTTACAAAGTGTTGTTAAGAATCCTTATAGAACGCTGGTATTCGCTTTATGAAGGGTTACACAACAATATATTTCCTTGAACGAGAATAATTAACAATTTTCTTCGCGGAATATGCCATGGAAACTTTTAATAGAAAGCCTTTTGTTTAGAGCTCCTTTCAATATTTTCATGATTTATTTTACACGATATCTATATATAATAATAATTTTAAATAGTTGACAGGATTCTGTACAAACCAATATTTTTGTTGTTGTATTAATTTGATTCGTCAACATTCCTACAACTAAATAATTTTAAATAAAACACTTTGAACAGTTTATAACGCGAATCTTCTTAGCTAAGTTATTTACAGTAATAGTAGGTAGGTACATGTTATTTTTAAAGGAGAATGCGAAATTTGATGCAATAATAATACAAGAATAAATAACGTCAAAATACTTGCTATGATTATCAGTCTAAACGGAGCTGTTCTAATTTCAAAATTTGATCAAAGTCCTAAATTTCTACATCGAAGTTATATAAGCTTTGAGTCAGCGCCAGAACTATAACGAGGAATAAAGCTAAAAATCCTTGCGCAAAATAATCGAATTGAATGGACTTCAAACTTCAGAATCAGAGCACAATCGATTCTAAGCGGTAACGAGTTCGAACATCACTCACCAATCAAACGATTTTTACGTCAAACGAGTTGAAAATTTCCATTGGGCGTTCCTGGAGATTTAACATTGAATTCTGATGGATTGTCTTTTTACTCAGCTTGGTCTTAAGTGTATTTGTAACACGAATGTGAATTCGACGTATAAACATTATTGCTTCTTAGTAATTTATATGATAATACAAAGATACACATTGTATATAGTTTACGCGAGTACACATTTAAATAGCCACTTTTGACAGTTTAAAACACGAAATCTAAAACTTATTTACAATTTATTTCACTAGGGCCTGACGCGACGTCTCATATGCTTTGTAATATAATCTAAGCTATTATATTTCCGAAAAAGACGTCCAGATTTTGATCAGGGAAAATCCGCTTTTACGAATCACAAAAACTCAAATACTTAATAATGCTGAACACTACTATATGTATATAACTTTTAGGTGCGTTTATATTAAGAAGTGGAGAGAGTGATTTGAATCTGCTGTTAATAAATTCGGAGACAGAATATCTTTTCTTGTCAAAGATGCCGAGTTTTTGTAGAAATGACAGAATTACTTCAACATTAATTAGTGGGACTAAAACCTCCAACGACAAAGCACTTAGCAAAATCTAAGCAGTATTTATGTGCACTTAAATAACTACTAGATACATTTCATTTTGCTACTAAACCTTCCATCCTTGGAAACAACTAATCCGAATTACGTCCTTATTAATTTCATGTTCATCCACTCACAAATGGCTGGCTTCCCGTCCATTTATTATGGACATAAGCTGGGTTTGGGGTCTAAGTCGAGGTTTTAGTGTCTGACATGGAAATCGAAATTGAAGACTGTAGTTGGTGTTAACCTACAGAGATTCATTTAACGGTCATGAAATTGAAACTTCGATATGGTTAAAATTTCAGTAGATTTTAGAATTTTTCATAATGTCATATTATGGTGGTAAAAATAATAAATGTAATATTATTAAGCAATCTTATGCTTTTATTACATGACTTAAAATAATTTTGTCAAAACACAAATACGTTTTTACAAATGACTCTGGATGTTCTCATGAGAGCCTCTGTTCTCATGTCTACGTTTTATTTTATACAGTTAATTCGAGAGATGCAACAGAAACTCTAGTCAATAAAGCTACTTGCGAGGTCAGTAAACAAACATTAAAAATATCTTTACGTGTTTACAACTACCTCTACACAGTCAGACATGATACATTTTCTTATTATTTAGTTTTACTTTTTAAATTTCATTACACACACAAAACACTGTTTGATAATTTAAATAAATCTAACAATATTACTAGGCTAACTAGAGGAAACAAAAATTTGGTATGTAAGTCTCAGAAAATCGTATATGTTTATACTTAAAATAGACTACTTATTTATAACTTTATATAGTGATTATTTTAAAGTAACGCTCGTTTATTGATCGATGATAATTTGTTTATACATGGTATCCCAGTACAAACAATTTATTATGTTTTATGTAAGGTATTAAGATAACGCGCATTATTGAACGCGATCGTCTTTAAACCTTCAGGTCTAAACTAATCTTGAGTAAAAATAGGTCTATAGCACATCTTGTCGAGATGATATATATGTATATAGCTGGGGTATTTCACCTAATCACCTTTCAACTGCATTGCATCAACTCGATACTTAACTATCCTCTTCTTGGAAAGAAAAAGAAATATTCTGATATCAATGGATATAATAATAAAAAATCCTGCACTGTATCAATGCCCGTCAAATTAAGGTAGATAAAAAATAAATAAACAAATAAATGGAAGGAACCTGGCTACTTTGCGTATCTGATTAAGAAAAAAGCACTTTTACCCGCAAGGGGCCTCTACTTTATAGGATTTTTTTTATAATTATTGTCACGGGGATACTAAAGATTCAGGGTGCCTCTGACGCCAAAGTAAAAAATGCTAAGTATTGACTGATTGGTATTTGGCGAAATTGGTTTGCCCTTATGCTGTTTTTTTGGAATCCAGAGTTTTTAATATGGGAGGTGTTTGATAACTTGAGGTCGTCTTAAACCGTTAAAGTATATACTTATCGTGTTTTTAAACGTTAAAGTGCTTTATTTAGTCGCGTAAATTACAGAAAGTGTTTAATTCAAAACACTTTCAAATAATATAATGAAGGACTTAAATGATAAACTTGGAACAGTTCATTGACCCCTCTAAGCTTTTACCTTAATCGCGTGTATTATTTCGTTATCGGATCGAACACATACGGCGCACAGCGGGCACTTTGCTCAGCACTTACTTAATTTCCTGAAAACCACTGTTTCTATCGCGTTTACCGGGTATTAGGGTTTAAGTAATAAATGATGTATTTAAAAAAGCTGATATCTGGTACATACCTATATAGTACATGGTACAGACACATTTGTCTTTTTCATTGATAAATATACCTATACCTTGATAACCATGTTGAGCACCTGATCACGACAACAAGAAATAATCATAAATAGTAATTACGTATAGTTTAAACTCGATACAGACTCTATGAATAGTTTGTTATATATATATGATTAATAAATAACAATAATATTGTGACTATAAAGATTCTTGACATAAATCTGTACATAGCTGTACCTGTAGCTGACGCAAGTTTCTATTAAAAATTACCTTTTAATATTAAATACATTTCCACTCGTTTTATTTTAATTAACAAATATAACATGAAAATTCCATCATTGTGGAAATTGCGACCTCTTGTAGTCGTCTACGTCTTTTCAAATCGAATGTAGGCTTTGCAAATACCTGCCACATACGAAGTATGTTCTAGAGTTACTAGATGGCGCTGTACCAAAAATAGATTTGGAATCATCTATCACAGTTATGTGTTAAATTTGAATTCTCTAACAGAATAAAAAAAAGACTCTTTCTTTCCTATCAGGGTCAAGCAAGACATTCTAAGACTAACTTTCTGCAAAGATATATGCCTACTAACCTGAATCACACTGCTGTCGGAAAAGCTTGCTTCCCAGAAGTCTTCAATATTCTCCGGATAGTCACACTCGTTCATGGGATTCGGGCTTAGAGCTTCTTGACGATGCTTGAACACAAATATAAGACCACCATATTCCTCGTCTGGTCTCCAAGCCCCACACATTGTAGCTACAGTCCGCTTTTCCACATCCATTTTTAATTTTTTTACAGGAGAATGTTCCACATTTAAATCACTTTTATTTTTATTAGACGCCATTAGCAATTTCTGTAACTGAAGGTTTTTAGCTGCTATGGAAAAAGAAATATTACTTAAATAAGTTCTATTTGTAAGATATAATTTAAGCATATACTTATTCATAAGTCAAAGACTTTATAATAATAGTAGTAGATAATAAACTTTAAAATACATAAAGTAATTGTTTTATTATTTTGAAGATACAAGAAACAAATATTTAATGAATCGATAATTATATTTGAGAATTTAGTTTCGATAATATTTTCACAGGGATGTAAAGTTATACTGATTAATTAATTAAAAAAGTATTAATATTATTTGATTTTTATTATTTTTTCACTGACTCACTAACTTTTCTCTGAAAATTATTTGTTATTATTTTTACATTTCAGGTTATAAACCCGGTTACTCGTGTTTACTTTCAAAAGTTAAACTAAACTTTGACAATTGACGCTGGATGATACAGACTGTTAATAAAATTTGATATCAGTCAAATAGAAAAAAATAAATCAAGATTGTTATTCTACTCTTCATTTTAATTTTTTTTCTTAAAATACTGAAAGTACATGTTTATATCATAATTTTATGGCTTTAAATGCTTATAACCTTTTTTAAAGATATTTCTTCATGATGTTTTTACGAAGAAACCATAGATGGCAGGAACACTCAGTGACAAGTTTCAAAAATATTCAACAGAGAGCATAGATACATGATACTACTGTTTTCGATTATGAATAGAATTATTAAATAAAATATTTCTATACTTTTTGATCAAATTATGTACCTTTATTAACTTAAACTGAATTTTCCGAAGCAACCCATATTATTAAGGACAGTTTTAGGTGAGTATTGCAACTTTTTAAGGACTTTTCTTTTTTCAATTTCTATCATTTAATATGATTTAAATTAAAAAATATATAAGATATAAAATATCAGTTACAATAAAAAACAACTATAGTTATTGATACCATATTTTATACATTAGTATGGCAGGAATAACTTGCTTCTTGCAGTAAAAAACTCTCTAGGTCTTTCTTAGTGTATTTACAAAGTACAGTGAACTTTTGCGTGCTGACAATTTGTAATAAATTCGTAAAAAATACTGCCAAAGGATTGCTTGTAGACAACCGATCTAAACCTATCGGCTGCCTATTTACATGTAAAACGGAGTTAGGAAAAAATCAACCTGGTACGCAAATACACAATTTGAATGTGAAAGGTATCTCTTATGTTGGCTCGTATGTTGCCGACATTCGTTTGAAAAAGAACATATAGGCACATACGAAAACAAATAATATCACTACATATCAGAGGAACCTTTGCATAAAATCTACTATTAACATTATTAATTTGATATATGTTTCATTAGGGATCAATATTAAAATGTAGTAGTTAACTTATTTATAATTTAATATATCTACGGCCCGACGTTTCTGATATATTTCACGTGTTAAACCGTAAAAAGTTTTTTATTTAATGTTACTTCACCCGTAAATTACAGAAAATACGTCAAGTTGTTTAAATTAATAGTAATATCAATGTTAATATGAATGTCGTTTGATTTAACTGTTCACTTTCTGCATACTAAGTGAAAAATATATATTATATGTTTATTACTATTAAATAACTAGCTGTATCAGCGACTATATAGACAGCGTATAGAATTATTTTGGGCATCAAAATTTGTTTGTGCAAAACTACTCTTCACCTTTATAATTTTAAGCTGTATCCACCACGTCCCGTCCCGTGGTTATTGCAAGTTAATCTTTAAAGATAGACATATAGTGTCGGGGACATTTATATAGATCATTTAAAGGGGAATAATCCATTGATTTGTACTAGTTGGCTATCTTGAACCGTTTTCACAGCGTACGCATCGGAAACCCACAGAGAGGAATAAGTTTCCCCGTTTTCTCCACATTTTCCACTGTTTCTTTGTTCCTATTAGTTACACCGTGCAACACAGCACAGCAATGTTTTAAAGCCTATAACTGCTCTAACCAATACAAAAATAATTTTTCAACTCGAATCAGTATTTTCTGAGATTAGCGTTCTCAAACAAACAAACTCTTCAGCTTTATATATTTGTATAGATTAAATGGGAGTGCCAAGTGACAAGTGACTAGTTTACTCTCCTTAAACCGTTAACACGAAAATATACAATAGAAAAACTACATTACTTCTATGTATGTCTTAAGCATCATTCTTCACATATAATATTATGTTATATGATGGCTGACAGAGAGTGGACTGCACTGTCTCACGGAGCTAGGATTGTTCTTGACGTATGCTGAGGAAAAACCAGCGCTAATACAACTGTTTCCAGCCATCTTTACTTACAAAGCATTTCTTGTCGCGTGGGCCAGTAAAACTGCGATAATCATTATAAATATTGCCGGAAGTAGACTCAATGGAAAAAAATTGGTGGTGAAGGAAGAAAGAAAACAAGTAAGTTATTTATCTATTACAGTAGTCCTCAGTATGTAAGTACATACGAGGCCGCTAAAGGCAGAGTAGCCTAACTGGACTTTTTTGAATTGAGTTATTTATATTTTTAAAAATAGTAGTAGCATAGTCTCAAAATGTTAATCTACAAGAGCACAGTGACCGAAAGTTGTTAACAGAATTCTTACACAAATAATAATAATTCAAAATGAGATGTATGGCTTATAAAAAAAAGAAAAAAAATCAAAATTATTTTCGCCTAAGTTTATTGCGCATTTTTTATTTTCCTCCATATTGAAAATCATGTTTTTTGTTAGGCTTTGCTTCTAGCAGCCTTTTTGCCTAGTTAGTTAAGATTTCTAGGCATAGTTTAATCAATATGTACATTTGAAAACCACACCGAAGAACACTTTTATTAATTTCAACGAAGAGAAACAACCTAATATCAATTGAATGACTTTTGCTGCCCGTTGAAACGCATTTTTAGTGGCCACACCCGAACACCGAGCGACTATTAAGGTGTCCCATTTGTCACGTCAGCGGATCATTTAGTTGATACTTTACAGATGTCCGGGACGGACGATTATGCGCTTAGACACGTCCAATCGTGTGAGTGGGCAATAGCAATATTACTGATTAATGATCTTGTAAATATCCTATCATTACATAACTATGAGCAGCACTCGACAGCGAGCAAGAGACATCAAAGTAGGTATGTGTAAATGCGCCCGCGCCATCTACGAGCATAGGTGTCAACTGATACTATTATTTAAATCAAAATTATTTTTTTTGTGCAATTATTGTCTACTTTCGTAATTAAGAGAAAGTATTATTGTACATGTTTGAGTAGAGGGTTGAAGTGAAACTCATGATTGTACTCTGTATCTTAAAATGTTTCACACATTTTAAAAAAAATGTTTTACACAAAGAACGGACAAGTAGTTGATCAGACTGCTCTAATAATAACATATATTCTTAAAAATGTAATACAAATATGAAATCAATAATATTTTAAAACAATTACTGCAAACTTGGTAGAAGTACAATCAGCAGTCGTAGTAGTAAGGGCTCGATCGCCACCCGTCAATGGATAATTTTTCTAAAACATCTTGCATCTCGTCTAAAAAATAAATATGTGGAATATCGTAATTCCGGCCGGGTCACGTACCACCGACTGCAAATGAAAAAGTCGTGAAGTTTAATCGCCCTTCGATTTCAGTCAATCCAATCCAAAGCCAAAAGGAGTCCACAGCGCATTTGTTTCGATGTAATATGACTAGGGTATTTTATCTCCCATCAAGTGAACGCCGCCATGCTTGTCTGTCAAAAAAAGATACTAAATACTTTGTAGCGGTACAACGGAAACAAAAGCCCGTCAAATTGTTTACAAACAGGAGGCAACTATCCTAACATCACAATGGCTAACTTTCAGCATGTCCGTCAGAATTAGCCGCGTCGTAACTATTGGCTGGAGCGCACACCTCACCCATAAATTAGTTGCTGCTTGGACGGTACATGGGTTGGGGTCGACTCCATTGTTGTACGGCACGAGTTTTCAACTTCCGTTTGATTAAGATGAAAGAGAAGCTCAATTTAAATGTAACTAATTCTAACGTCACTTCCTTATAGGCGTTTTCAAATTGTTCTGATGTTGTGTTTAAAAAAAAAACTTATATATATTAGTATGGATTATTAAAAGTGTTTCACATACCTGCTACCATATACCTATACTATAAGTTTAAAAAAATTTACAAATTTGAAGTTCTTCTTCTTATAGTTTATGATTAATGTTATTTGGTTTTAAAGGCGTCGGTGTAATTTAATTATTGTTTAGCTGAAAACATTTTAAAAATTCATGACGTCCGATAGAATGGAAACGCGACATAAAGCATGGGCCATAGACTTTTAATCAATGTGCACGAGTGGTGGACTGCAAAAATGGCGCAGGTTAGTGGACGCGGCTTAATTAAAACCATAAGGAAAATTGTCCGCCCGGATCTCTATGGCCGTTTATTTTTTCGGACATTCCTATTTACGCTTTTTCGCATGAAGATTTACGTTTGGCATTTTTTCTTCTCACTTGATCTAAATCAAATCAAAGGATTTGGTTCAATGAACTGAGTTTTTTACGATAGAGAAGAACAGACGAGCATGAAGTTCTCTCGATGGAAAGTGAGATAAGGCCAAGGTGATGATGGTAATTTTGAAAAATTATTTATTAATTACAAAAGCACTTTGAACCCGGTGGGGATCCAACCACGACCCGTCGTTACACTTAAATGCTACCATAAGACCAACGGTCCCGTCAAAATGTATAACGCCTTTATCTAATATTTCTTTAAAAATTAAGTTTTTTAATCAAAGTGTAATACAATGAAAATAAAACTTAAACTAAGACAATAAATAATATAATTATACAACAATACATTTCTTGATTAACTAACTGCTAGGTTCTTATTACATTATTTTTGTAACTTTGTCCCGAAATATCAAAAAGGGAACGGCAGTTAGGCGAATAATGTAAAACGGGGTAGCTAGACTTATGTATGAGAAATTTAATCTTCGCAAAATCGTTTCGTGGATTGTTTCGAATATTTACGAGCGTTTTATTCAGGGGCATACATAGAGGTAATCTTTTTGAATACCTCGCCAACCGTTTTAATACTCTGCTCAGCGCTGACATTTTACTCAAGATTGATAAAAATGATTTGTAAGTTACACTATAAGTTTATTAGTAGGTTGTGTTAAAAAAACAAACACACAAAATAATATGCAAGTTCCGCAGTAAAAAATCTGCCAAAAAGAAATTATTTAATAATATATGTAACATTGTACGTCTGTCAATGTTTTAATTCTAATTCGATAAAGGACAGTTTAACAATCAGTGAGGTAAATCAACGTAATTCACTTAATTCTTACGTTGTCTTAGCGACGAATTCCGCATTAAATAAATGACCTATGAACACCAACACACTACGCCACCTTTGAAGTACCAGGTCAGCATAACGTCGCAACACATTCGTATTTTCCCAGTACAACGCACAGGTATACGTTAGAGAAGCAGTCGCCGCTCAAATAACCGATTCTAGGTCCCCGGGGCGTCGTTCACAAACCCGCTTCACTTTTTACATTATACCTTGATGCATACGATTTCCATTACCTAAGTGTTTATTTCTGTTTCTGACTGCTATCTTTGATATTACTCGAGAAGCACAGTTTTATTTCGGTTAATTTTAATAATAACAGTATATTTTTTTTATAATGGAGGGCACAAGCATAAGTCTACATGATAGTAGGTTTTTTTCTTTTGATTATAACGCATTGGGCCCGGGTCCTCGAGTACTAACCGTTAAGGCGAGTTTGCGGCTAGACCAGGGGTGGCCCAAGGAGGAAGGGAGAGGTCGACCTCGCCATGGACCGCCGCAAGATGGTAGGTGAAATATCCCCGTCTTATAACATCAAAACAAAATGTGCTGACGGCCTATTTCGACTTTGGATATTCGGAAATCCACAGGCTGAAACGAGATTGAACTTCACGTATTTTTCATCTGTGGACAGTGGTTCTCGACATGAACGGAATTTCTTATCTATCCATTTGATATCCAGATTTCCATACAAAGTGCAACATCTTTTTGAAAAAGTATAAAAATACAAATAAATACTGTCTACAAAGTATATAAATACTGTGTTTTTTACAAAATATATAGTTTACTCTAGATGCTGTAAATTTCCATACATAAACAATTGCTTTCACATTTATCTGGTAGAAGAGAACTGTAGCTACCCACCCGGCAATTGCAAGAAATTGCCTAACGAATCTTACAATAGCTCACGTGAATTCGAATATAGTCTTCAGCACTTTGTGATAGAGAACAAATTGCTAGAGGCGAAACGTTTGATGTTACTAAAGTTACTGTACATCTTGAACTCCTTTGAAATCCAACTGGCTACCATTTTAACGTCATTTGTGGCGATTTGAATCTCAAAGATTTGCAATTTAAGTTTCGTAATGCCGGCGGCCTTACGTCGTGGTCCAAGTTATATGTTTCGCGACGTTTCTTCTTCACTTCTAATGGTAGCATCGGGTCGTGGGTTCGAACCCCACCTGATCCAACAAGTTTCAAATTTTTCAATTTATAATTTTTCAACGAGTTTCGAATATTCAAATTTATTATATATATTAACCCCATGCCATGTCTGTCCTCCTCTGTCATAAAAAAAAAATTAAGTAATTTTATAGATTTAAACAAGCCGTGGTACGTGGAACGTACGGGGTACGTACGGATCAGAAGCTTTAAATCATGTGATATCTAACTACGTCCTTACCTAAAGTAAGTACACGTTGACGATATAATCTATTAAAGTAATAAAAAATATGCGTAATTTTTTTTTAAGGAATGTCTGTTACACGGTTACAGATAACAGCTAAACTACGTCAATTTCTTGTATATTTTTCTTGAAATTCCATTTTTAAAATAGTCTCGTCTGCTTGTAATACTTTATATTCCTTGACGCTAAATTAAATAAATTATATAAAAGCATATTTTAACTAATAAAATTAATATTCTTGTTGTAGCCATCTTTACATTTTATCTGACCTAGAAGAATATAAGGAATAATATATTATAGCGAGCTAAATAAATTGAAGATAGTTTAACTACAGTGAAAAATATATATAATTAAAAAATATTTTTTTCAACTCAATAAAAAATATTATAACTTATCGCAATTGTTCACTATCCGTAAGAAATACATACAGTTATCAGTAATAGAAGCTAGATGATGCCTTCAATTTGGAAAATGACCATAAAAATTCCTAAAGATTATTGTCATGTTTGTGTGCAAAATTGGCAGTTAAATATTTTATGGGCTACTGTTTTACTTAAAAAGACAATTTTTACCATCGTATAATTATAGTCAATTGTCTTCAGTATGAATAATTTACTATTAATTGTACTTGCTGTTACATCTGAAGTTCTATCTTCAGATTTCAATCTATTAGACCAAGATTACTACGATATAAACAATGCCGAAGAAATATACGAACAGTTCATTCAAAAATATAACAAAGAATATTACGAAGAAGAACGAAGTGCTTACCGTTTCGAAGTGTTTGTGGATAACTTGAAAAAAATTAACGAGTTGAATAAGAACAGCGATTCAGCTAGGTTTGGTGTTACACAATTCACTGATCTGACATTTGATGAATTTCGTGATAGCTATTTAACATTCAGTGATTTTACTTACGGTGAAGGTGTTGTGTACGAACCGAAGGGTCTAAAATGTCCGAAGTCGTTGGACTACCGCATATTTGGATACGTTACACCAGTCAAAGACCAAGGAACCTGTGGATCTTGTTATGTTTTTAGTGCGATTGGTAAGTCGAGGCCAGGAATTTAACTTCGTGAAAAGGGAGGTCCACAGTTCGACTTTTATATAATATGTATTATGAATTTTTGTGTTTGTTTGCGCATAACTACGTCGTGTATAAACCGATTTTGATGATTCCCGTTTTGTTGGAAAGTAAATATTTCCAAAGTGGTCTCAGTATTTAGAAAAAATGATAATAGGTATAGTGGTTGTTTTGTATCTAAATAAATCAAATCAGGTATTGCTTTGGGCGAAGTTAATTTTTAGGCAACTCGTTTTGGAACTTACTTGTCAGTCATTTTTAAGATTTTTGCTTTGCTATACTATTTAAGCCATGCCTGTAATAATTACAGCTTAGTTCTTCCTCATCTCTATCTCTATAGACCTTCAACAAAGTATTTAAAGAAAGTTATCTTAAAGGTGACATCGAAGGGCAATATGCCAAGAAGAATCACACAGCAGTCAGACTATCAGAACAACAAGCTCTAGATTGCGGTGATAACAAAGGCTGTGATGGTGGAATGCCACATGAAGTATTTCAGTAATGTATTCTACAAAAATTTTATAAAAGAGAAGCCTGACTTAACATTGACGGTCGGATTGACGGACCCGTTGGTGTAATAGTAGCAATGTATGGCTCACAATCAAAAAGGGTCGTCATAAATAGTAGTCGATCATACTTCTGTGCCACAACGGCGTAACTATTGAGTCACAATGGCGTTATTTTATAATATTTATAGGTTTCCATAATATAACTTACCGAACCAAACCTAACGTTCCTTATATTTTGAGTCCATTTAGAATATTTACATTTAATAATATCAAAGAGCGCAAATAAATAATTTGTTAATAAAACGAATTACTATCCTTATCAGGTCACTGGCCACCCAGGGAGGCTCTATTCTTGAGAAAGTCTATCCATACGAAGGCATGAAGAGTAAATGCAGGCCAAAAGGGGATAAAAAAGTGCTTGTCACAGGTGGTCTACAACTTTTGATTAGCAACGAAGAGGATTTGAAGGAAGCCTTAGTAAACTACGGTCCATTATCTATTGGTAATATACAAATTTTTATCCATATAAATAAAAGACTTTCACCGTGGGGACTTTGCTGCTGAAAAGTTACGGAAACTTCAAGACTTAGTTAAAAATAGAATGTGTTTTGGACATTTATTAACAGAAGAAAATAATATAATGTTATAAGCCAATATGTCGCGTTTTCAACCGTTATTTCTATATGTACTTACTTCGTCGATGTAACAACTCGGAGTCTTGCCCTCAGAAATATAAACTAAAGTTTTTTTTATTATGTCATTTCTAAAATATATGTTTAAGAATTGATGTCTATAATAGCGAACTAAAAATATTACATCATTATATTTAACTTACCGCGTCTGTAGCACAGTAATTTGATGCGTCGATTCGCATCCAAGGGAAAACTAGCCGGCAGAAATTCGACTAGTAAAACAGATAGAGAAACGCCTTCGCCCTATTTCCCAGAGAGTTAAATGGGATTTAAGTTTTTAATATTAGAGTTTTTGTGTTTCAGGAATTTACATGAACCCAGATCTTCAGGTACATACTGGTGGTTTGTTTAAGACATCCTCTTGCGGTGTTTGGGGTCATGCAGCCCTTCTTGTTGGATATGGAAATGGTATACTTTATATAATTAAAACAGTTAAAATCAGCTATTTAATTGAACATGTAGTACAAAGAATTAGAATTTTTTTTTATAAAAAGATTGTGTTAATTTTAAAAAGGGTCTTGTGTCAGCTTAACTCGCAGCACACTTATTACAACACAGATTTTCAGTAAAACCCTGAATTTAACAGTTAATTACGTAAAAGTTGCGAAACCAGACAATTATTTCAATATTATGGACCATTCGCCTGCGAAAATATTAATTGAAACCTTGATTTGATTTACTAAACTAAGAATTAAATAAGTACAACATCTTTTCATAGATTTTTTCATATGAAGGTTTTGTTTTTTTAGTATTGATAACGTAATTGATGTAATCTTGTACTTTTGTATATATTTTTTATACCTTTGTACAGATGGAAAAGACGACTACTGGCTCATCAAGAACTCTTGGGGTAAAGTCTGGGGGGATGAAGGTTACCTGCGCTTACAGAGGGGAAAGGGAATGTGCGGTATTGGCAGATACGTTGCTCATTCCATAGTCGAATAACGCTTTTCTTATAAGATATGGGTAGTAAGGAAGTATAAATAAATGGAGAATATAACATTTAACCTTATTTGTTACAACCTAAGAGGTTGTAACAAATAAGGTTATATGACATATCCCACGATTAAATTGTATATGGCGTTTTCAAGGCTTTAGGGGTTACGAGCTATTATATATATACGCTGACGTAGTGCAAATTTTTAGTTTTGATGTGTTCCATAATCCATAGTAAAACCAAAGATAAGTTTTAGAAATCTTACAATATACTGGGACAAAAAACTTACAATTACTTTCCAAGCACGTAGACTAACCAACCTACACAGGTTTCTTAAACATGGGACCGGAATCACTAAATATAAAATGTGTGCTTCGTTGGTACCTATACACCTCTTATCACTAAGATAAAGGATACAATTTCAAATATGCAAATGCCATACCTCTCAAAAATGCACACACATATCTTCACGGTATTAAAGTTGCATAATTACATATTTTCGTTTTTATATAAGCAAATAGTTTCGCTAGAAATTAAACTATTTACAATGTTATTTACATTTTGTATACTTGCCGTCTTTACCTCCGAAGTTTTTACAACCGACTTCGGTTTACTAAACCAAGAACACTACGATGTATATAATGCAGAAGCAATCTATAATCAGTTTTACGAAAAATATGGCGCACAATATAATAAAGAGAAAACTGATCACCGTTTGAACGTGTTTAAAGAGAATTTGAAGAAGATTAATAAATGGAATAGAGAAAGTGATTCCGCTAGGTTTGGTGTCAACCAATTCACTGATCTGACTTTTGAGGAGATAACACGTACTTACTTGGGAGTTAGGGGTAATGTTAGTACGAATGACGCTGTCCTGTACACCCCAAAGGGTCTGAAGGGTCCAGAAAGTTTGGACTACCGTCAACACGGCTACGTCACGCCGGTAAAGAATCAGGGGCAGTGTGGATCTTGCTACGCTTTTGGTGCAATTGGTAATTTATTTCATTCCCTTTATTCCCTCATATGTATATTAGACAACAATATCTCAGGCGATATCGTATAAAAAATCTAAATATTAAAAAATTAGTTCCAGTGAAAGTTAAAAACTGAAGTAGAAAAATGGAAATTAAATTAGTGCTAAACAATTGTTGATAAAGTTTTAAAATTGTTATAGTGTTTCTTAAAAACATGTTAAAGCAGAAAAATATAGTAATAATACAAATATTATAAGCATGTTTGTTTAGACGCCCAAATCTCAGAAACTACTCATACGACTTGAAGATTTTCTTTTTGCGTTAGTTAAAACATCTATCGAGGAAAGCTTTCGGCTATAAAACAGTCATGCTGCGACAATATCTATTTATAACCATCCTTTTAATAAACCAAAAAAGACCATTAAACGTATCACAGAACTAACTAATCGCTCTGACGCATCATAATTTTCCGTCTTTATTTAATGTATAACAGGTGACGTTGAAGGGCAGTATGCAAAATTGCATCAAACACAAGCAATAAGTCTCTCTGAGCAGCAGGTTGTCGACTGCGACAGCCACAGCTTTGGTTGCTCAGGAGGCTGGCCACATTGGGTTTTTCAGTAAGTGTCATCTGATTTCTTGTAATTTGGGGATATGAGCTTTACAAAAGATTCAAAAACACATTGTCTTAGTATGTCTCTGTTTTTATAAAGTAAAGCTATTGCATCGCCGCTTATACAATGTAGGCTCTCAAAAGCCTCTATTCAGCTCGTACCTGAAATATTTCGAAATCTAACTCTCTCTCTCTCTCTCTAATCACTTAATGGAATGTGAAATACCCCAGTTATATGACATCTTTAAAAAAATCCCTAAACCAAAAATGTTACTGCTTGATTTCATGTGTTCCCTTGTCTTCATTACCCCCCATCAACATACAAAACGTTTTGATGAAGTCCAACATGATTCGAAAACATTAAAAGTTGATTAGAAGCATATTGGACCAGATGGAGAACAAAACCACGACCTGTTGATTATTAGCGAGTGAGCCCAAAAATTTAAGTGGAATTGGACTCTTTTTCCACTTTATGTTCTAGAGCTTTGGTTGGAGAAGGAGGTTCTATGCGTCAGGAACATTATCCCTATGAAGCAGTTCAGGGTCAATGCAGAAGCGATAGATCGAAAATAGCTGTACGAGTCACAGGCGGTTATGAATTGAAGATTACAAGTGAAGATGCTTTGAAAGACGCTTTACTTCAATATGGACCACTTGCGATTGGTATGTAGAACTTGAATTGTTAATGAAGGCTCCATAAAAGTAGTAATGATTTTCAAGATATTTGATACGATACTATATATTATATTAGATGCATACGATATTTTAATAAAATCCCCAATGTAGTTCAAACACTGTCAATGAATAAGTTGAAAACGTATGTCAAACAAAAACTGCTTGGAATCGGTTATTATGTAAACGTTAATCAATTTTGAAATTATAAAAATGCTTGGAGTTTAGAGAAACTCGCTCTAACAAGAAAAATAAATATTATAATATAAATAATAAAATGAAATTTGGCGAAAATAAAAGTGGCAGCGAGTTTCTTGCTAGTTCTTCTCGTTCGTTTTATGCCCTTGATTTGAGAAAATGCAAATTTAGAGTCTTTAGTTTTAACTAGTGCGACTGTAATAAGTGTACGTTTATAAAGTGAGCAAAACGGCCAATGATTAATTTATTGATTATTGTTTTAAAATAAGAGGTCTTGGGTTCGAATCGCAAGGAAACAACAAATTCTTTTAGTCTGAAAAATCACAGAAGTCTGATCAACCACTTGCCATTTGTAAATAAAATCGATCAATGAACGGTCATAAAAATATGTCCACCCCATGCTACACATATTTTTTACGTTGTATTAATATTTAAATATTCTCTGTAGTCTACGACTATAGTATAATATGTATATTTAAAGAAAATAGTTTTAAAGATTTAAATTTATTTTAATAACGACTTGTCGTTTTGGCTGCGGCAAAGAATTTATTTATTTAATACGCGTTTATCTGTTAAGACTATTTTCTATAAAAACTAGTACTTAGTATTATTACACAGTAACGAATAAGAAAGATCTTCCCTATGTTACATAATATCCTTAAGGTCTATTTTATTTGTCTTATATATTCAAAACAATACAATGCAATAAAATAAAATTAAACATTTTGTTTGAAAAAAAAATGACATTTGGTTTGAAAGTATTAATACTTGTTGGTTACGTACATGTTATTTTATGTCCTATATACAATTTAAAACCATTACCAAATAAGTTTCTTAGTAAATTTCTTTACATTACAGCCACATATGTCGGGAATCAATTCTTCTATTATCAGGGTGGAGTGTTCAACCCTACGGACTGCACCGAGTGGGGTCATGCTCTTCTTCTCGTCGGATATGGAAACGGTAACTTTAGTATTTAAAAAAACTTATTACTATGATACCAAAAGCCTTAGGCTATAACACACGGTTACTTATGCATATACCAATTTTATACGTATTGTTCTTTTGAAAAATTGTTATTGTTTTTTAAATGTAGAAGCTCATCTATAGCTTATTTTGGTATTTACACAAGCTTCAAAATTACAGCCTGGATTATAAACTTCCAAATACTACAGGATTTTTTAAATTAAAACACTTTTAACGGGTTAAAACACGAAATGCATTAGTTAAACTTTTCAATAAATTTTAACTACTGTCCGACAATTCGGATGCTTTGCAGCAGCCGTGACGATCCCCTCCCTAACATATTCCCTGATAATAATAGACTGATAGAGAAATTTTAATTAAGTTTAACTAAAAAAAATACCTGTTTGAAACTGTTAAAAGTATTTTATTTAGGTAAAAGTAAGTACTATTACTATATTACAAGTACGTATGTATTACAAGTAAGTACTACTCGCGTAAACTATAGATGGTACTAACAGCAAACTCGCTAGTAAGTATTGTGTCGTTGGCTTTTTCTGTCTGTCTGTCGCACGATCCAAGTTATTTATTTATGTTTCAATAGAAGAAACTAATAATTACCACTACGCAGAAAAATAAGTAGCAATTTATTATGTGTGTATTAATAAATCGAGGTGGTAATGATAGATCATTATTTTGTATATGCCCCTTTATATATATATATATATATATATATATATATATATATGTGTATATAGTGCTATCTATCTAATTTTAATTAGACTTAATACACATTATGATAAAGCATAGTGAAATGAAAGGATCAAAGTGATGAATAAAAACTTATATGTTTTTAGATGGCATGAACGACTATTGGCTGATTAAAAACTCTTGGGACACCACTTGGGGTGAACAGGGCTACATGCGACTGGCGATGGGACAGAAGGCTTGTGGCATAGGGGCATATGTTGCCCATTCAATTGTTGCATAATTTTAATGTCTGCGATCTATCATGAATAAACATTAAAGGCTATAATACCATTAGTGATACTTTTTGATTACCTTCCAATCTGATACAATTTTCGTGATAAAGGCTTATATGAAATTATTTTCGATTAAAAATATCAATGGTGTAAATAAATTGAAATTACATTTTTGAAAGATGAATTATTCTAAACTGTTTTTTTTTTTTGTTTTATTCCAAGAGAATTGTTCTCTTGAAGTCTAGGATCCACTGACCTTGCTTTAGCATATTTAGTTTTGTCATAATTTAAATTTACGACAATCAGGGTTCTTACACGTTACAATTATAAAATACACAACAAAGCATATAGTTATGTCGTTTTCTAAAAGATAACATCTTTTTTTACAATTCAGTTTTTACCCTCACTACATATAAAATTAGGTTCATACGTATTAGTATACTTCAGCAAGCTTACACGAAAAGAAGACTGAGAAGGAACTGATAGGAGCTATGTTATTTGTCTTATAATTTAAGTGAAACCTCAACTTACAACTGTATGTGATGTTTAATCGGGGACTGAATATTTAAAATCCAAATTCATATAAAAGTAGTAGAAGAAACAGAATTATACAATCGTCAAATCCAGATTTTGCCTGAACCAAAAGAACCAGCAATTTCTTAAAATTCACTTCTGACTTCTCGTTCAAATATTTGTTATCTGCTACGTATCTCTATCTATCGATTTTAAAACTTGAGCTTTAAGGTTATGTAATTCATCCCTCAGCCATGATGATACGCGTATAGAACACATTTCTAAGGTACACCCATAATGCAAGTGTAGGTATTTAATCTACGGTCTGCACCGACAAACTGAAATACAACGATCTAAGAGTAAGCAGAGAGATGTGTAGATGATAAGTCGTCTTATCTTCTTGTCAGAAACCTCAGCAGCTTTTGCTGCTTAGCGTCCCAACTGTAAGGACTAACCTAACGAACCGCCAGTAACTAGTGCAATGCTTCAATCAGCCTGCATTGACTTGATTATGTTACGCATAGTCACGCACGTCGAATGTTGGCAAAAAATGATTCGCTGAAGTTGCCAAGGCTAAAGGTGTTGAATTCTGTTAATAGCGATGGGATGCGGTCAAGTTGGACACAAAAGGATCATCTACAAAAATAAATCTCAGAATATTCTTTCTTGATCTTTTAAAGAATTCAGGTAAGGTTAAAATTTTAAATTGAAGTTGAGAAAAATAATTTATCAAATTAGACATTGCTAAAAGAGTTATTAATTTTTTGATTTTATGTATGTTTCTTGAACTAACATAACTAAATTTACACAATACTGAATGTTAGTATAGCTTGATTATACATTATATTAAAAATTACAAACATTCCATATTAAGTATGTTGTAAAGAATTAATTATTTTCTACTGTTGACGATTTGCTTAAATAACCCAGTACAAAATTCAAATTCCATGTAAAATTTTCACCCAATAAATATTTGAGATTGCTTTTCACTTTACATAACTGTGATAACAGCGACAGTATCTACTATATAAGTAGGATCTTGCAAGGAACTTTCACCAGACCATCATGCTACGCGTATTGTATCTTGTACTAATTGCTACTGAAGTTTTAACTTCAGACTACACCTTACTAAACGCAGATTATTACAACCTCGATCAAGCTGGGGAAATCTTTGATCAATTCCTTATTAAGTATAATAAGAAATATGAAGACCGGATCACCGCTACAAAGCGCTTTGAAACATTTAAAGAGAATTTAAAGAAAATCAACGAATGGAATAAAGAGGGCGATACAACTATACATGGAGTAAATGAGTTTACTGACATGACTTTTGATGAATTTTCCAAATGTTATCTAGGTTTTAATGGTAAACTTGTCAGTAAGGACGCTGTTAAGTATGAGCCAAGCGGTATAGAAGCCCCTGCGAGCATGGATTGGCGTAGCTATGGTTATGTTACTGAAGTCAAAAGTCAACAGAGCTGTGGCTCATGTTTTGCTTTCAGTGCTATAGGTAAGTTGATTCATATTTACCATATTTTAATTAATTTTTTACTTTAAGAACCAAACCAAACCCACCCCCCCCCCCCCCCCCCCCCCCCCCCCCCCCCCCCCCCCCCCACAAAAAAAACAACCCCCCCCCCCCCCCCCCCCCCCCACCAAACAAAAGGGGGGGGGGGAAGGGAGAACGCGGGGAACGCCACGCCCGCCGCCCCCCCGCGCCCCCCCCCCCAAAAAAAAGGAAGGGGGGGGAGGGCCCCCCCCCCCCCCCCCCCCCAAAGCCGGAAAGAAAAACCACCCCCCCCCCCCCCCCCCCCCCCCCCCCCCCCCCCCCCCCCCCCCCCCCCCCCCCCCCCCCCCCCCCCCCCCCCCCCCCCCCCCCCCCCCCCCCCCCCCCCCCCCCCCCCGAGGCGAGGGGCCGCCCACAACCAAAAAACAACAAGCAGCCGGGGGGGGGGGGGGGCGCCCCCCCCCCCCCCGCCGGGCGGCCGGCCCCCCCCCCCCCCCCCCGCCCCCCCCCCCCCCCCCCCCCCCCCCCCCCCCCACCCCCCGGGGCGCGGGGGGGGGGCGGGGGGGGCCCGGCCCCCCCCCCCCCCCCCAAACCCCCCCCCCCCCCCCCCCCCCCCCCCCCCCCCCCCCCCCCCCCCCCCCCCCCCCCCCCCCGGGCCCCCCCGGCCCCCCCCCGCCCCCGCCCGGGGGGGCCCCACATTTGGGCAAAACCATTTTATTGGAAAGTAAAATAAAAAAATTACTAAAAACCAGAAAATAATTACAATGATTTTCTAAAATATAAATGTATATACTTTCTTTCAGGGAATATTGAGGGCCAATACGCGAAGGCTCACGGTGCAAGAGCATTTAGTCTGTCAAATCAGCAAGCCTTTGACTGCAGTAGTGCAGCTAACTGTGAAACCGGTGGTTTGCCACACGAAGTTTTTCAGTAAGTAGAGAAGATCTAAACACTTATGTCTTACTTATGCCTTTGTAAAGTAGGTATTACTTTGTGTTCATATCTGGACTTTTAAGACTTAAATCTAAAATTAACCAATGGAATATTCGAGCAATATCCCAAATAAATAAGATTTTAAGGACCAATTCCTAATAAGTTTCCTTTTAGGGCACTAACGACTCAGGGTGGTAGTATGCGCGAGCAAGACTATCCTTACGAGGCTGTAAAGGGTCAGTGCAGAACTGATAGGAGCAAAATAGCAGTAAAAGTGACCGGAGGACAACAATTGGGAGTGGCGGGAGAAGATGGTTTGAAAGACGCTGTCGCTAGTTATGGACCGTTATCAATTGGTAGGTGTAACTTACTTCTAAATGAAGATAATACATTAACAATAAGGAAGTGAAATCTTATTGGTTTTATGTAGGACTGAGTACAGTACTGTTAATAAAAATAGGTAATTTGACTTCTGTGCCCCGCCCGCCCAAGATCTTTGAGATCATCCTTGTTCTTTAAATCTTTTCATTTCTAATTCACAGCTATTTGCGCTGACGCTGAATTGCAAACCTTAAGAGGTGGACAAGTTTATAAGCCGAAGCAACCTTGCAATACAGCAAATCATGCTGTTCTTCTCGTTGGCTATGGGAATGGTAAATAAGTCCATAATCTAATACTTAGAGATGAAAAAGGTGTATAACATAAAGAAGCTGGCATATAATATACCTATCTATTAGCCTATCACTACTGTTATTAGTAAATGTCGGACTTAAATTAAAATCGCTTTTTAGATTTTAAAAATTACGACACAGTCAGGACATGACCCGGCATCCATATTGATTGATCGAGTCCGACACGTCATCGTCGATTCCACCTCTCGCGCAATGTAATTTCAACCTTACCACTAGGACGTGATAGCTCCACCATAGAGAGCTGGTGGTGTGTTTAGTGGTTCTGGTCGGCTTTTCCTATTTACCACACTCCCCACGTCACACTTGCCCGACGTGGGCGTGCATTAGGCATTCATACCATCAGTTAAAAAAAGGACATGGTAGCTCAATTGGTTAGAGCACGGAACGCAGTGAATTCCGATTTAGCCCGCGTCCTATTTTTTTCCAACTTTAATCGATTTTTTATTTATATAATGCCATCTTGTGCAAAAATTAAACTCGTTGCTCAGACGAAGCCAAACGTATAAATAACCTTATTTCGGAATCAAACCAAAATATTTTTCCAATTACAGAAGGAGGCGCTGATTTTTGGCTGATAAAGAATTCTTGGGGCTACAGTTTCGGAGACCAGGGCTACTTCCGTCTAATAAGAGGGCAAATGGCTTTGGCTGTTGGAAGCTATGTCGCAACATCCACTGTTGGTTAATTGCTTCTGTTCAATATGTTTAAAAAAATAAACTCTTTACAGATTATTAATATTAAATTTGAAACTACCCTACTTAACGATTTATGTAACCTACAAATCATAGAAAAGCTTAGATAACTACACATTTAGGATAAGCTACCATATATTTTAAAGGTAGACTAGAGGGATTAGTAATGTAAAGCGTTACATATAAAGCGTCTAACAAGTAATCATTATTATAAATATGATCAATTCATTTAAATAAAACACAAAATGTATGTTGTGAATAAGTTACCTAAAATATTTTGCGTTCTAAATCGTTTAAAGTGATTTGTTTAAATATGTACTACTCGCTTATACTACAATACTTAAAACTGTAACTACTTAGTAACCATTTCCAGGGTTCTAATAACATAAAGTTGCTAATATACTTTGAAAACTTTAATATTTTTCAAATTATTGCACATGAACTATATAATTTAAAAATCTAAAAAATTGAAATAATGTTCGACTCGGGCAGAACTTGAACCGGCATCGTCAGAGAGAAACAGCACGGAGCGCTGACTGTGCCGGTTCAAGTCCTGCCCGAGTCCAACATTTTTTCAATTTATTTTCGATTTTTAAATTAATAATATACTTGTCTCGATTGAAGATGTTGAATGTGTCACATGATCACACATCTAGAAGTAAAATACCGAATTGTTAAATTTCATACAGGTAGGTGTTTTAGCCCACCAAACCGCGCCGGTTGGTTTCATAACTTCGCCCAGCGTTGGGACATTAATAGGCTGAAACGAATAGCAATGAGCAGTGTATAATTGTCGCCGTTACGTCGCGTCCTGATTAATGCTTCCCGGGGATTTGTTATGAGCACGCTAATTATCGGCATCCCGGTCGAGGTTCGTTCCTTCCTCATTAACAGAGCGCCGGCGCGGGCGCATCTCATCGTTGTGTATCAAAACTTTCAATCTGCACAAACTTTGTCATTAACCATCGTACCAAAGCAACATCGCACACATTCTTTCGGTGTATGAAGTATTTTTCACTAAATTTGATTCCCATAACAACGGTTCTTGAGAGTTCTTAAAAGATATTATACTACTTATGTCGCACATATTTTTAGATTATTTAAAAAGGACTTTTATATATATTTTTGGGTATGTTGAACGCAGCGCACGTATCGGTTACTTTCAAAGATTAATAATTTTTCATGTTTTTTTCCCATTTCTTACTGTTTACTTGCTCATATCAGTCGCATATTGATGTTTTTTAGCTTAAAGCCTTTGTCGATAAATGGTCTTCAATTCGAACCAATAGTTCCTGAGATTAGCGGGTTCAAAGAACTAAGCAAACAAAGAAACTCTAATAATACTAGTATAGATGAAACTCATAAAACGGCGCGGCCGTTAACTAAATCCCTTACCCTAAGGACCCCGAAGCGTTAAATATTAGTTACAAAACTATAATATATTTCACGTTTTAAACCGTTAAAACTATTCTATTCCGATATGAGTTAACCAAAGACAATACCAACTAATTTACCCACATATTTGCTTTACTGAGAAAGGCGAGACTCAAACCACACCAAAATTGTTTTATATATAACTATATAACGCAGATTGATTAATTAACAGAATCAAATATTTTATCTTGTTAAACCATTTCTTTTGTGAATTGAAAATCCCATAGAAATGCGTAACACATCGACTGAGTTGCTTTAATACAATCAAGTATCAGGTGTGTTGTTGTCCTTTCGAGATTTTCGCTAACCAATGACTTAGGCTAAGTGATCAGGCAATCTCTTACAGAGGGTTGCGTCAGCTGGGTTTTATAATAAGTTCTTTTCCGGACTATGTTAGATCTTCGTTGTCTATTTACAAGTAATTTGGGTATTACAATAATTAATAAATGTATTCTTTCCTAGCTAACTAAAGCCTGTGCAATAAATGTTATTGTGGATTTCCGGGTATTCGGATAAAGTCAAAATAGGTCCATCCGAGGGCAAAATTTGTCGACAACACATTTTTGGTTGTGATAGGCCTGTAACATCAACTTCCATAACGCGAAGTCTACGAAAGAAATAATTATAATTAAAAAAATATATTTACATATATTTTACGTGTCGACCCGTTAAATGATATTTTCTTGCTGATAGAGAATTAAATAGTTTCACGGGTATTTCAATAATGAGAGAAGTTCCTATTGAAATAAGTTATTCTATTATTGTATCATAAAACGGCCACAGAACTGTGTTTAACGTGATAGACATGATAACTCAAAGCCCGCCACAACAAAATATGCAAATCCATTAATAAAGACATAAAAATCGGTAGTTTATTTACCCTCCATACGACATTGTAATTCCGTACTAACAACCTTATAAAATTACTAATCATCACTCGCCTATGTCATTTCGTCACAATTTAATAACACGTAGTCCGTCAATCTTCTGCCCTTTTCGTTTACGAACAGCTTATTTAATCTCCACCTTAATTCAATGGTATAAGGTTTAAAATAGCATTGTGCGTGGGTAGAATAAAAGTTGTCGTGTATAAGCTAATGACGTCACGAGCACTTTCCCGTATTAGAATGATAAACGGATGGCTATCGAGTATGGAAATCTACCAATTTATTATACGATAGCTCGTTATTCTATTAGGTAAACAAAATTTGGGGAGTTGATAGAGTCATCTCGGTTATTACGAATAATAAAGTGTGGGTGTGGTGGTGCGCAGTGGAAGACATGACGGAGAGTCATTTGGGCTTGCGGGATATTTATAACTAGACGTACCTGCGACTTTGCCCGCATAAAATACTTATTATGGGAATCGAAATTTGTTTTTGCAAACCTTCTCATCGTGATAAATTGTATACGTTACCCATGAAGAAGCGGAATCATTTGTCGTAGATATCTTTTGGGTATTTTGACCCGTATTCGCAGCGCATGCAACCAGTGGTTCCCGAGATTAGCGCGTTCAAACAAACTCTTCAGCTTTATAATATTAATATAGATAAAAAAATAATCTATAACTTTTAAAAGATAATACAAAGGACACGTTTGTAACGCATTTGTAGTTGGATAAGTAGGATGCGAAGTCCCAAGTTCAAATGTGTGTGCTCTTCGCACAGCTATTGATCAACGACCTACTATCATTTAATTAAAACACTATCAACGGTTTAAAACGCGATTTATTAGTTAAACTTATTTGAAAATGATTTTTAACTTTTGCCCGACGTTTCAGATGATTTGCAGCAGCCGTGGTCACGGGGCGACTAAAGGATGTCTCTGCCGTCAAAGTAAAAAATTGCTACGCTAGTTTACACTACTTTGTGAAAGTGTTTTATTCAAATATGTACTACTCGCCTAAACTATAGACAGTATTTACCTACTATCAAACAATTCCATCAGTAAAACGGAGACTCAAATGTATCTCCCCATAGCGAGAAACAGTGATACCATAGTTTTGAAAAAAACAAGTCTAACATTTTTTTAACTATTGTACAATATAGCAAAAAAAAAAAAAAAACAAGAGTGTGTAAAGGTCCTTAAAAAAACCTACATATTTTTGTATAATTTCAAAAACCTACTTATTTATTTTATTCTCTATGTGGATATTAAGTGAACTAAGTAGGTAGTTAACATTTAAAAGGGTGGAGTATGTTTGCTATAGATAAATAACATGAAAATAAAGCTCTTTTAATGCAAACAAATAAAACGGCCGTCTGCCAATAAGGCAAACAAATAATTAACTTACTTTCAAAATAACGGTGTAGGGACAGGATATAGCTCCCATACGCATAAAGGCATACATTATGTAGTACTAACTTAAAATTGACCCCATGATTCAACAGTTAAAGGAGAGCATTGTACAGTGAGTCCCTCTAAAAAATTGATTCGGTCTTGCTTAAGACAGACTCACAAATGTTTGCCTCTTACCTAATAGTTCTAAAACATGTCACTCAATTTTAAAACAATATTTTTAACGGTTTAAAACGCTCTGTGCCCACTTCTACTGCAAACATTTGCAGATAAGTGAAACTTATTTAAATTGTTTCTCGTTGCTTAAACTGTGCAAATTTACAACGAGAAACAGAGTTTACAACATTATTTAAATGTGCACTGTCGTAAGCTACAAACTCATTTAAATATTTTTATTCATTTTAGCCTATCAGTGTGTTTTTTTCAACACAAAATTTTTCAGCCTTTCCGTTTATAAGTAAAACTTTTTATGAAAGGGCATGGGGCTTACTTAATAGAAATTACCCTGGCCGGTAGTGCAGCTTCGTAGTGACCCATTCCAGCTTGGATATTCAAAATTCACAGACTGAAACCGAACCGCGATTTAGCGCTACGGCCTTTTTATCTGTGGACGCTTCGAACTGAATTATATTCCTGTCATCCATGTAATATTCAGATTTCCGAACGTACGAGGTATAGAATAATTATAAATTGATCAGAAACCAATTAAATACTGTCTATAGTTTACGCGAGTAGACAATAAAAACACTTTAAGGTTCAAAAGCGATTTGTCTCCCGTGACCACGGCTGCCGCAAAGCATCCGAAACGTCGGGCCGAAGTTAAAAATGATTTTCAAATAAGTGTTAACTATTATATCGCGTTTTAAACCGTTAAAGTGTTTTATTGAAATGATCAGAAACCATGTTGGACCCGATGGGGATCGAACCCGCCTCCCGTTATTATTAGCCATACGAAGCAACGAGCTTATCAACATTATGATTTTAATTTATAATATTAATGACTATATTTTAGTACTAAACATTGTTTCATAAAACTTTCCCACTACAATATGACGCCACGCAACTATAACTGGCAAGCTAAACAAACCTTAAATGGTAATTTTCAAGCAAAGTAAACACGTTCATACGATTTTTAAAGCGAAACGACGAAGCGTCTGTTATTACGGGCAATATATCAAAATACTAAAGGTTAGCCCTTATATTACCTTTGTTTGCTAACTGTACCTGGTGGCCATAATATGTTCAGCAGTACTAGAATAGT